CTATGAATGAAAACATTAGCAGCGACTGGTTTCGATCATCCGACCTCTGGGTTTTGGGCCCAGCACGCTTCCACTGCGCCACGCTGCTGTTGTGCTGAACCTAAAGGTGGACTTCTCATTCACTTTTTTATTCATTGATCCTCCACAACATTAGTTTCTTGATCATCAAAATGAAAACCATAAGGAGAGAGAACAAAAAAATCTTAGTGTTGGGTTATGAAAAAGAAAATGAACAAACAAAAAAGTTACGCATTATTGAAAAAAAAATGCGGTTAGGTTACCAGTAATGAGCATGTTCTGTGGTTTGAAGCTTGGCTTTTGTGTATTCTTCCCCCCCCCCCGCCGATATGCTCCGCCTCCTTTGCCGATGTGTGCATGGTTGTTTTAGAATATTTTGATGAATGAAAAAAACGCACAAAATTTTATCAAGACTCCACAAAAAAAACAATAAAAATCTCACTCATCGCCTCTCATTAAATGAACAATATCCTCAAAAATCACATCAAACAATTCTTTATTTTGATTATGCCTGCGCCACATGAACTCGCAAAGGTACCCATCTAGCATGTGTGGATGCACTCTCCACATTCTCTTGAATTTATTCTTCGCAATATTCCAGAAGCTTTCAATGTTGTTTGTATGAGCCTTACTTTCTGGGTCGACAAAATTGTATTTATGGTTAACCGTGAGGTGCTAATAATCATGAGGAAGAGAAGTTATAGAAGTATACGACACGCCTATGATTGTCGTTCGAGGTAGAAGCGAATGTATAATGCATTCAATTAAGGAGTTGGAGGTACGTTCAGAGACTGCATGAAGAAAACATTCTTTTGATTTGCGGCATATTCCTCCGAATACCCACTGTTGCTTTTTGGCTCTCCCTACGTTATATTTTCTTCTTGAAACTAATGTTTCATCTATTTCCACGGTGGTGTTCGGACCCCCGATTTGGATTGGACTTCTCAATAGACTGTGAGCACAAACTTCTCGCATAAAGTTGTTGTAGTCGATCACAGTCTTGTTAGATAAATTTAATTCTTCTTTACAAAATTTAACTGTTGTGTACTCTTTGGTCCAAGAATACAAGAACAG